GACCTCGCAGCTCCACCAGAGCCGGTTCATCCACTCATGTACCTTGAACCTTTTGTTGCCATACTTATCGTATTGAATGGCATCCTGATCGGCTTCCAAACGGACCCTGCGTATCAGGACTGGCCAGGGTGGGCATATGTCGACTTGGCATTTCAGAGCTTTTTGCTGCTAGAGATTTTGTTCAGAATGCACTTTCTCAGATGCCGGAAATATTGGTGGGGGCCTGAAAGCTGGTGGAACTGGTTTGATCTCTTTCTTTTCGGGAGTGGGTTGGCAGATGTGATTCTACAGTTCGCCGGCGATCAACAGTCAGATATGGCGGCCACATCCTTGCTCAGATTCTGCCGTTTGATTCGGCTGGTTCGCATTGTCAAGGCTAGCATGCTTCAAAAGGATATAGGTGTAGGATGCGGCAGTTGTGCCAAAATCGTTTGTGGCCAATCAACGCGCCAGCAAGGTGTTTCGCATAAAGTTTATGCGCGATCTCCGCTTGATGGTAAAGGGCCTGATTGCCGGCGTGAGGACGCTGGCTTTGGCTTTTGTGCTCTTGTTCGCGGTGTTGTACGTCATCTCGGGCTTCGCAGCGATGACGATCGGGAACAGCGAAGAAGTCGCGAAGATTGGGCTCGACGGCTTCTTCTACAACATCCCTGCCTCTATGTACACAGCCTTCAGGTGCTTTACAGGGGAATGCACAACGAACGACGGCGCGCCCATCCATTCGCTGTTGGCCGATGTGTTTGGCTTGCCTTTCATAGCCTGCTACGTAGTCAGTTACATGCTGGTGACAATGGGCATCTTCAACCTGATATTGGCCGTATACGTCGACATAACGATGAAAGCAGCGAAGGAGAATGATGCCGTCACGGCAGAGCAGTACTCGCGGGAGTCCATCCGTATCGCCCGAACAACGCGTGAGCTGTTGAAGAAGTTCTCCTCGGCTTATCACGTCTTCCATGAAATGGAGGATTCCGTGAAGCACTCTAACACGATCGACTGGATGAAGGCGAGCGTCTTCACTGAGGAGGGGATGGACAAGATAGCCATCACCAAGGAGCTCTTCTTGCTGATCATACAAGACCGCGTGGTGCAGAAGCTGATGGACGATTTGGATCTACCCCCAGACAGGGCTAATCTCTTCGAAATTATTGATGCCGACGGAAGCGGCACCCTTCAAATAACGGAGCTCTTGCATGGCTTGTTAAAGATCCGGGGCGAGATCAACAAAAGCGATGCTGTAGCTACACTTCTGGCAACCCGGTCAGTGCAGACCTTGATCACCGAAATGAAAGCAGACACCAACCGGAAGTTGGATACGCTTCGGTCCGAGTTGGTGGAGCAGCTAACCCGACTGCGCAAGAGCAGCATAAATCGGACCCTCGCCTCTTCAAAGGTGGAGGAGGAAAAGCAGAAACCCCCAGCTCCAGCTGTTTTGGAGCTGAGGCTGCCTTGTAAGCCATCTGCCTGCGAGGAGGATCCGAGGATCCCCGTGTGGCCTGCCAGCCCCACCTCAAGAATGAATGACTAGTGACTAGTTACTAGTTCCGGCACCTGTCTTCATGCAGCCTTTTGATGCAGGTGTGCTGGGAGTACATGTTTGCGTTCTCGCCTTTTCAACTCCAGTTTCAACGTATGCATGCACCTCGAAGGACTCGCTCTTGCGCCACTTTAGGTGCGAGCAATGAAGGCGAGGGGATTTTCCGGGCTCTCGTGCGAAGTGCGAACCCGGAACAAACCGCAGAAACTTGGCAAACGTCGTGCAGCAGACTGCGAGACGATATGTAAAAGCTGTGCCTGCAGTGTTAAAGCCACAACTAACAGGGTATTTGTATGATTTGTATGTATTGCTGAAGATACATTCGAGTCATCCTGCGTGTTTTTGGGGCTCGCGGCCGAAGCTTGGTTCACCGGCAGGGTTTGTTTTAAAACCGCACTGTTTGCTTCCTATTCCTGCAATGACTACCTCGGTTTATCCTCCTTGCAATCTAGAGTCAGGTTTGGGCTCATTCCAACTGTTGGCCGGGCCCGCGACCATCGTTTATAAATCATTTATCAGTTGTTTTGCCTTTGGGACATCCTCTCTGATCAGATATCTGTACTCGAAACAGTTGGGTTTGCTGCTTGTCCTGAAATGATACGTAGGCTCGCCGCACACCACCTGCTGGTATAGCAAGGGTCTCAGACATTTTCAAGAAAAACATCCACTTACTTTATGGCATTTAGATTGCAGCAGAGACAGGGAGAGAGAGAGAGAGAGAGAGCGAGCCTGTTTCCTCGGTCGTAGCCCTGGCGAAAGAAAGAGAGAGAGAGCCTGTCTAACTTCCCCTGCCCATAACCCTGCCGAAAGAAAGAGAGCCTGTCTGTTGTCCTATACTTTATGGCATGATCCTTGGATATGATATACTCGTTGTTCGCACCCCTCCTCCTGCTTAACACATGCGGGTGGGCATGCTGCCCGGGGGTCTTGACCGACCCCTATATCCGGGAGAGAGAGAGAGTGAGTGATTGACGTGAGCTTGCCTGTGCGTATGGGCGAAGACTCGCACGTCTTGATATGTGCTGGGCGATTTGGATCAGATCCAATGCGTTCTTAGAATCTTCGCCATAGGATGACGAAGCATATTCTCGATCGGGATGCCTTTGCGGAACATCTCGATGCATCGTGGCAGACATTCCGGAAGCAGCTGCTGGATGTGTATCCAAACGGCCCGAGCCTGCAGACTGTCGAGCCACTGCCTCCTACAATTGGTCATGCTTTCGAGGAAGCCTTCGAGGCAACACCGGTAGACTTGGATTCAGCAGCTTATGCTGCAGCAATTGATGCAGCCAGGCAGATTACAGATGAATCCAAAGCCACAACGGAAGAGATCGCAGTCCGCGCGGGCTCAGTCTCACCTTCGATAGACAGCGATATCGTCAGGCAAGGCCATTCTGGCCACCTCCTGCAATCAGGACTTCGAGGACTAAGTGAAGAAGATGCGGCAGCTGTGAAAGATCGTTTGCGCCTTCGCTTAGGAATCCTCTCGCCCAAAACATTGATATCCGGCAAGGCACTGCTGGAATCTGTGTCCGCGCTCGGACTGACGCGATACACCGAGGAGGATATGAATGAGTTCGTCAACATGCTTGGGGACTTCGTCCAACTAGAATTTGTGACGAAGCTGGAGAGGAGGCCAAGCCAAGGCCCCACGATGAACACCATGCTCTTCGGGGCGCAGGAAGTCATGGAAACGCCGGAATGTAAACTGGGAAAGCCTAAGTGGCAATGGCCGGCAGCAACTGCAACTCGAGACCTGCCAACCATGCGCGCCAGCTTGAGCTTGAAGGGTGGAGGCGAGAGGGTTTGCAACCAGCCTTCACGCCGAGTAGAATACAATGTGATCCCTGCGCAGCCTTTACTCGACATTTTCCTGGCACAGGAGACAGAGGTGCACAAAAGGATTTTTGGAGCAAAGGGTCTCAATCAGTACAGGGCCATCAAGGAGATTCTGCTGGCCGGAGACACCAACCGCCTAGTTGCAGAGCTCACATTCGTGCGGATCAATGACCTTGCAGCACCACCAGAGCCGATGCATCCTATCATGTATCTGGAACCTCTGGTAGCTATTCTGATTATTGGCAACGGTATTATGATCGGCTTCCAGACTGATCCAAACTACAAGGACTGGAATGGCTGGGTGTATATTGAGATGGCGTTTGCTGTATGCCAGCGGCCTAGCTTGAGATTCCTTGTTGAGACCAAAACTACGTAAGCATGCCATGAGGGGAGCCAGGAACACAGGAGGAGGCTCTTGGGCGAGTTGTAAAGTTTGGGACGGTTTCCAGCAGATGAGGAAAATCGGAAGCGACTCTGACGCATAAATGCCCTGCCACTTACGAGGACCAAACATGTCGTACAAGCGGCTTCAGACCGGCTGCTTGTGGTCTCGTTTGTTCGTTCGAGAGCTCCTTTTGACTCCACTATTGCTTGTGCTGCTGCTCTTACGACTCGTACCACTTCTTCTGCGGCTGCCGCTGCTGTGACTACTATCCATGCTGTTCCTGCTGCTGGTGCTAGTAGTGGTGCTACTGCTGTGGCGTAAAAACCGCCTGCTGGTGCTGCGTTTTTTTAGTAAGTGTCTTAAGGGTCTTGCTGTTAGGTAGGGTCTTGTAGATCCGGTTTTCCTATTAGGCAATGGCTTGCTGTCAGCCAATGGTTTGCCGAACTAAGCAGCAGGGCTTTCCATTCCATAAATCGTGCGTCCAGGTTTTCCTGTTGCAAAATGGTGGTGCTGTGAGATGGCATTTTTCCTATTGGACTTAGACAATGGTTTTGCTTTTACACAGCTGCGAAGTAGAGTCCTTACTTTAGATGGCTTGGTTTGGCTTGGCTCCGGTTAACTTGCCTAACCAGTCATGGCAAATCTTGATGAAGATGGGCATTCGACACTTCTTCCAGAAAACAGATCACATTACCACAGAAATTGTAGGCCGAACGGGTCCCGGGAGCAAGCGGGCGGTGGGGAAATGTAGAGAAGAGGTTGATGGCGAGGTCGCCTTTGTAAAGCACTTTCAGCCCGCAAATCCCAGAGTCCGACGCTCATCCACATAGTAACAAGTGACTAGTGCCGTGCACAGCTCTACCCACTCAATTTGTGTCTGCCTTTGATGCCTGATGGGCTGCAGGTCTGATTCTCGAAGTTTGCCTGCGCATGTTTGTGTTGGGATGCTTTGGATACTGGTGCGGATCTGAACGTCTCTGGAACTGGTTTGACTTATTCCTGATGTGCACGGGCTTATCGGACATCGCTATCCAGCTTTTCGACGACCAAGAGTCTGGCATCGCGGGCACTTCGCTACTCAGATTCTGCCGCTTAATTCGTCTAGTTCGGATAGTCAAGGCTCCCGACGTGCAAAATTCCTGGAGGTTTTTGCAGTTGTTCTGCAGTCAGCCTCCCCTGCCAGGTCTTCCGTATCAAGTTCATGAAAGATCTTCGGCTTATGGTCAAGGGCCTGCTAGCAGGCATCCGGACCCTTGCTTTGGCTTTCGTCCTACTCTTCGCAGTCTTATATGTGATATCCGGCTTCGCAACCATGACAATAGGAAGCAGCGAAACAACGGTTGATCTCGGGCTGAGCCCGTATTTCGACAACATCCCCAACTCTATGTTTACCGCCTTCCGATGTTTCACCGGAGAGTGTGTAAGCAACGACGGGAGGCCTATCCACGCCTTGCTTGCGTCGAGGTTTGGGCTGCTTTTTATAGCTGGTTATGTTGCCAGCTACATGCTCGTGACGATGGGGATTTTCAATGTGATCTTGGCGGTTTATGTTGATATAACGATGAAAGCTGCGAAAGAGAACGATGCAGTCACTGCCGAGCAGTACTCACGTGAATCAATCCGAGTTGCCCGGACGACGCGGGAGCTCCTGAAAAAGTTTGCCGCAGCATATCACTCATTTCATGAACCTCATCAGAACCACCACCACGGTTCACCGAACGACGAGCATGATCCGGAGGCAAAGGTCAATACCTCTTCCAGAGCCATGTATGCAGAGGACGGCATGCACGACAAGATCGCAATCACCAAAGACCTTTTCCTTTTGATCGTGCAGGACCGTGCGGTGCAGAAGCTCATGGATGACCTAGATCTGCCTCACGATCGCGCCAACCTCTTCGAGATCATCGATGCCGATGGAAGTGGCACGCTTCAAATCACAGAGCTTCTGCAAGGCCTCTTAAAAATCCGTGGCGAGATCAGCAAGAGTGATACGGTGGCCTCTCTGCTGGCGACCAAAGCTGTCTTCAGTATGCTAAGCGAATTGAAACAGGAGCAGCTCCTGGAGTTGAAATCGCTGAGGGCGGAGTTCGCCCGGTGTCTCGCTAGCTTGTGGACGCTGAAGCAGCTACCAGTGGCACCGGCACTCATAAAGACCGCATCTTCCCCTGCGAAGCCCGACAGCCCCATCCCTGTCCTCGGTCTGGATCAGGTTGGGATGCCATCGAAGCCCGAGGCTTGTATTGAAGATGTCGAAACCGCGCCACCCTTTGCGTGAAAATCTGGAGACGGATTCTGAGCCTGCTACGTAGCTCTAGCATTGATTTTTCTTGCGCAAAGCCTGCCCTGATCCCTGTAAGTCTGTGTAGCAGAGTGTGAAGTGTTGCCTTCTACTGCTGCTTTGCTTTCGCTGACCATCGAAGACGGAGCTGCAAATTCACTGCTGAGTGCAGTGCCCCACGTCTTCGTGGCAGACGGGCTCTTTCGCAAAACAGAGACACTAAGATGTGTCCGCCTAATTATTCTATTCTCCGACAGATCGACTGCAAAAATCAGCGATCAGCTGCAGACACTGCGCAGCCCATGCGCCTGGTTGTCTACTACTGTTTCACCTGAAAGTCGTTGCAGCTGCGAGTACCGACCTGTGCAGGAAAATTGTTGCCATGCATGGTTCTGCCTTCCTCTGTTGTCACATGTGCATATGCCCGCTGTGACATTTGGGGTGAGGCAGATTGTTCCTGGATGCTGAGTGCAGTAGTTGTCAAGGGTA